CCTCTTGGGCCTTGAAAATCCTTGAAAAGAACTTCTTTATCTTTTTCCAGGTCGTTTTTTTGGGTGTTTCTGTGGAGGTGTTTTCGCTGTAACTTGAACTTTCATAGCTAGAACCTGAATAACTGAAGTCTTCTTCTGATGATGAAGTAGTATGGCTACTATCACTCGTCGGGGTGGAGGAGACTTCACTTGAAGTTGTTGTTGAAGGTGTTGGCTTCAGAATACATCTGGTGCCTGATTTTAGAAACTTCTTTATCTTTTTCCAGGTCGTTTTTTTGGGTGTTTCTGTGGAGGTGTTTTCGCTGTAACTTGAACTTTCATAGCTAGAACCTGAATAACTGAAGTCTTCTTCTGATGATGAAGTAGTATGGCTACTATCACTCGTCGGGGTGGAGGAGACTTCACTTGAAGTTGTTGTTGAAGGTGTTGGCTTCAGAATACATCTGGTGCCTGATTTTAGAAACTTCTTTATCTTTTTCCAGGTGGTTTTCCAGGTGGTTTTCCAGGTGGTTTTCCAGGTGTTTTTCCAGGTGTTTTTCCAGGTGGTTTTCCAGGTGTTTTTCCAGGTGTTTTTCCAGGTGTTTTTCCAGGTGTTTTTCCAGGTGGTTTTCCAGGTGGGTTTTTTTGGTCTTTCTGTGGAGGTGTATTCGCTGTAACTTGAACTTTCATTGCTAGAACCTGAATAACTGAGGTCTTCTACTGATGATGGAGTAGTATAGCTACTATCACTCGTCGGGGTGGAGGAGACTTCACTTGAAGTTGTTGTTGCAGGTGTTGGCTCCCTTGATATTTGATCCTCCTTGAAGGTTTTGGCAGTGGTGGCTTTTTCTAAGCTTGTCGACCCAGAATCGATGGAGTCAGTTGTCGACCAGGAACTTGAGTGATAAGATTGAAAGTTGTAGTATACTCCCATAGAAACAATTGATTCTTCTGGACTAGTCTCCTCGTCGCACTCACTACTAATTTTTTCAGCTTCTGTAAATGTTTCCTCTGGCTCGTGAACGGACGGTTCATCTAATGTTCCATCATGAGGTTCCATTGCAGGCTGTAGACCACATTCAGTCATTACTTTGTTCGCCTGGATAAAATATTTTCTGTCAAAATCTTCAGAAAGATGTTTCATTGTTATAAATGTGTGATCAAGCGCTTCAGAGGGAGTGATTCGCTTCTTTGGATCCAATTCCAGCATTCTTTTCAGGAGGTTTTGAAAAGCTAAAATGTCTACGAGTTCCTGTTTTTGATATCTTCCACCACGGTTCCACCAGTCTGAATTATCCTCATCCATTGGTGATTTGAACTTCCAGTCTGCAGGGTTTCCATGAACACGGGTGAAAAAATGTTTTGTATATAACCCCTGTTCCAATAACTCGTTGTCTGGTTTTCCTACCAGCCGTAAAATCATGCTCATAACCTCTTGTTCAGCTACTGGAAAAAGGTGATTACCATAATAAAGGAACGCCAAAGTGCATGCTAAAGACCACATATCTACGCCTTCGTCAAGTGGTAGTCCCAGCATGATCTCAAAAGCCCTGTAGGAATGGTGTTGCATGAGTATGCCTTGCTCCATTTTTGATTTATGTTTTAATAAGCCAAAATCAATAAGTTTTACTCTCAGTGACGACTTAGAAACTAGCATAATATTATCCGGTTTAATATCACAGTGAGCAAGATTCAAGCTTTTTAACCCATCTAATGCTACCAGCAACTGTTGAGTAATTGCTCGTATTTTACTAACTGACATTGGCCTATAACATCTTCTTCCCATATAATCAAAAAGAGAAATGTGAAGATTTTCAAAAGCAAGACAATACCTTCCATTGTACATAAAATGTTCATAAAATTTTACCAAATTGTATCGATCGCTATCTAAGCTTTGCAGGTCCTTGAATGCGAATAGCTCATCTTTTGCAGCCTCGCTGTCATCCCTGGTAAATATTTTTACTGCCATAGTTTCATTTGTGGACACTTTTCGACACCTGATAACCTGTCCAAATACTCCTTCACCCAAGAACCTTTCAGTAACATGATTGGATGTTAATTGAGCTGGGAATTGGTATAAGTTTTGTGTAGCAACAGCGGTTCCCATTTTTTTGCAGCAAAATAAAGTCCTTTGGGATCAATAAATATTTGACTGGCCTTCCCAGAAAAAGAAAAAAAAAACCGTTTAAAAACTTAAAAGCTTGGGTACACAAGCAAATTCAAGTTTACAGAGCAGCAAATCTTAAATGTTTCTTCTCTAGCAAGATCTGACGAAGTTAGGTAGCCCGTGTCAAAAAATTATTCTATTCTATAAGTGACGTCACGGACCTATGAATTCGCTAATTTGCATAAATATTCAATAAACGTATGAGTGACGTCACGGACCTTTGAATTCGCTAATTTGCATAAATATTCAATAAACGTATGAGTGACGTCACGGACCTTTGAATTCGCTAATTTGCATAAATATTCAATAAACGTATGAGTGACGTCACGGACCTTTGAATTCGCTAATTTGCATAAATATTCAATAAACGTATGAGTGACGTCACGGACCTTTGAATTCGCTAATTTGCATAAATATTCAATAAACGTATGAGTGACGTCACGCTCCGTAATTCGCTAATTTGCATAAATATTCAATAAACGTATGAGTGACGTCACGGACCTTTGAATTCGCTAATTTGCATAAATATTCAATAAACGTATGAGTGACGTCACGGACCTTTGAATTCGCTAATTTGCATAAATATTCAATAAACGTATGAGTGACGTCACGGACCTTTGAATTCGCTAATTTGCATAAATATTCAATAAACGTATGAGTGACGTCACG